GCAAATTTGTCCATCAGGTAAATACTTAACTTCATCCACGCAGCCCAAACAAAAAAAGTTTAATAAATTTTCAACAACATTTGTATTAATTTATAGGTAATGAAGCAGCAAAAAACTTAAATAAATGTGGGCCAACTTAGTCATTATATTGAGAAATACTAAGAAAGTAACAGAAAATAATAAAAATACTAAAGATAAATGTGTATGCTAAGATGTAAATAACTTAGAAATAAAAAGTAATTCAGCTAAAGTATGATCCATTAACAGAATTATCATGGTGAAGCTTTAAGTTTCTTTCGAGCCTGTCCTTCCTCATTGTCCTCATCATATCCTTTCACTTATTCCTGAATCTGTCCTTCCTACCATACATGAAAGAGTAAAACATGTAACTATATATGCATATGTGTGTGTATGAAATGTATAAAGTTGCATTAAAACATTAACCATCTATATGTATACCTGATTGTTTTCTGCCAAAGGATTTAAGATTGATGAGTTTTGAGTCAGAACCGAGACAACAAAACAACGACTTGTGTATCCATTAGGAGCTTCTGTCTTCACAATAAATGCTACTTCTTTCCCTTCTAAGGATAAAAATTCATCTCGGAATGCGTCTCCTTTTTCCTTCTATTAAAAAATGCACAACAAACTTTCTTTTTTAATATTTGAATGATTTGAAAAACATGAGTTGTGCATAACTATGTTCTGAATAATATCTCAATTTTTATTTTTACCATATTTTTGAGCAGGTCTACGCTAGATAGTCCGATGAGTTGGGTTCCTTCATTTTCGAATACAATAAAGTATGCAATGCCAAAAGAGTCTTCAACCCTCAACTTGAGCTTATATCTGATGAGTAATGTAAGTATTTTGAATTTAAATGCATTATTATATTAGCACAATAAGTAATAGCATTGTTAACTTGGAAATAAGAGAAAAATATAAAACAATAGGTGTTTAGCACTACACCTCTTGAAAGTTTTGATACAATCTTCATTGCATTTATCACATTTAAACCTGCCGTCAACTACGCGTACATTGGAGACACATATAGGACATGTATTAAAGAACCAACCTTTCTCTGTTGAGACTCCTAATATAGTACCAACCACAAGGTGTTTTCCTTTCTGTAGAAATACACATTTTATACTATTTCAAATAATATTCAGATTCGATGATGTAAAATATTTGAAATAAAATACAGAAATAGATGGTGCTACATTAGTAATATATAATGGTAGTTATTTACCTCTTCGATATCAAACAGTTGGTTGATTGGTATTTTGTGATACTGGTGAAGATAAATGTCCTCTTCAGATTTGGGAGGGTCACTGCTTTGTGTTAACCTCTCTGTTACTTTTGGAAATAGTTTCTCAATTCTTACGAATAAATGAAAATATGATTAGTATGCAGTACATACCTGCAGAAAAAAATTCCTTTCAAAAAGAATATGTAGGAATTTTTTTTACTTGTCTCCGAATTGTGAAATCACCTCATTGTCCTCTCTGAATTCAATTCTCGAGGCATTAAACCAACCGGAAACTGAAATCTCATCTACAATAAATTATTTCAGAATCTCTGATTATTTTTTTGCACATAGCGACGCCGATAAAAAAACTTGTGCTCTATTTCATGAATCTAAATACCTTTCCACTCTCTAATTATTCCAAAGCATAAGCGAATCACAAAAGGAAATTCATTCTTTGATTCTTTATGTTTATTGAGTCTACTATCTACTTCTTCACCAAATTTGTCCCACAAATAACAGGTAATCTGGGACCCTCTTTTGAGGGTCGAATGGAGCGTTAGAAATGAGAGAATAAAGTATACATAATTGGATGAAAAATAGGATACATATATATGAAATTAAATATATTTAAAGGATACTTACTCTTCATCCGCAAGGGTTAATTGCAATCTATTTTTTGTACCACCGGCCTTCATATTAACTGGGTTCAGCTTCCAGTAGGTGACCTCCCCCATTATATTAACAGAATAATTTGGGTCAAATTTTTTAAATAATATGTCATCGAATTTAGCGCATTGAAAATTAAAAGGCGATAAGTTGAAATCCTTTATTTCTTCAACAATCGTTGACTTAGTGAATAGAAGTTTGAAACTATGGTTGCACAAGCGGAAGCCATACACATTTCGTCTAACATCCATTTGTTAGATGCTATAACAATGTTTGTCTATTAGATGTTAACTTTTCCCGTGTTTGGGGGTGGGGGGTGGGAGGGGGGTTAATTAGGAAGAGGGAAAAAATTGATAATAGGCCCGGACCCGGTGGGTACCCGGGCCGGGCCTGGGCCCATCTATTCAGAACCGGTGGCCCGGCCGGGCCCGACCCGGCCCGAGTCCAACTCTAGTTGGATTGTTTTCAGCTAGAAAGAAATAAGCATTGAAAATGAGTGGTTTTGCTCGAAGCTTTAATTTCAATGGATGGACTTTTTTGGTAGGGACATGCATGTTTTTATTTCACTTTATTAACATTTGCATATAGTATATTTCTCAATCAGGTTGACAATTCCTACAAAAAGAATACGGGATTGACAAATATTTTTGGCGAGGATTGTCAAAATTCATTGAAATATGATATCTTTCACCGCTTATAATTCGAAGGCATAAACAAGTTACAAATATGAGATGAGGTTGTGTGGTTGTCCCATTGTGACAACTTCTTATATAAGAACATAGAGTTAAGAACATAATACATAGGGAAAAATAATTAAAATACCCCAAGCTTTGAAGGGATGTGAGGTAAGCACCCCAAACTTGTATATGTAATTTGAATACCCCAAACTTTATATAAAAAGTTATTTTAGCACCATGATAATGTATTATTTATTTAAAAAATGTTAATTTTTGGTGTTCATTTCATAATTTAAAATATTTTAGCATTCATGAAGTCATGAAGATACAGTTAACATTCAATACTTCTATTGTAAAATAAAGAGTAGTACCCCCCACTCTATCTAATTGTAACATTTTCAATTTGCTGTTTTAAACTATGCACTTAACACCATAAATTTACATTTTTGAAAGAAATAGGGCAAGTTCCCGAAATAGGACTAAAACAGTTTCAAAATTCCAAAATAGGACTGTCATTAGTCCTATTTTGGGAATAAAAACATGACAGTCCTATTTTGGAATTTTCAAACTGTTTCAGTCCTATTTCGGGTAATATCTCAAAGAAATAATACATGATCATGGTGTTAAAATAACCTTTTATATAAAGTTTGGGGTATTTAAATTACATGTAACGCCCCTCTCAGGGTTAAAGGAGACGTTACTTAAACTTACTACTAAAAAAACTGCAATATAACGGCCGTTTATTTAAGAAATAACCCTGATAAAAACTCAAAATATAACTAAAATATAACTCCAAATAAAACTCAATAAAATCTAATTATCACCAGCAAATGTGATAACCACCTGGATCCAGGAATTTACTAAAACTTCAAATCTTCAAATAAAATAAAGTAATAATAATCACTTTAATATAACATCTGAAATACTAAAAAATAATAACTAGCTAGAAGCCGCCAAGGTCGTTCCCGTTAACTCATTTCGGCACGCGTTCCACTCTCTCATTATCTTCCTAGGCCTTGGCCTTACCTTTAGTATCTGTACATGCGAAGAAAGAAAACGGATAAGCTTTACGCTTAGTAAGTCACTATGGATCCACAAAAATATCTGAGAAGTCTATGCTAATTTATCATTAGATAAATTTAGGCTATAAGCATGCACTAAACAAATGACTAACAAATAGCTTCTCAAATAAATTCTGAGAGAGATACCAAAAGAAAATATTTTTTAAAATAATTTCTCAAAACTACTGGAGAGGTCTCAAAATTTCTCTCTCAAAATATCTCTGTAAAACTTTCTGAAAGAGATCTCAAAAACAACTTTCTATAAAACTTTCTGAAAGGGATCTCATAAACTTTCTGTAAAACTCTTTGTGGCTAATTTTTAATCTGTGGGCCCGTGATATGTACTCAAAGGCGCCAATCCGACAGTTCAGGGGAGCGACCCACTAAACATATCGAACTCTCTGAAACTGATAAACTGATAATCTGAGGGAACTTTTTCCCGAGTACATATCACCTGATCTTTCACTTTAAATATTAGTTCTTTTTTTTTATAGTGACGGTTGGGTAAAAACATCATTAAAATCTTAAAAAAAAAGAACACTGACATGATCTTGACTATGCCAGAATAATAAACATAACTAAACATGACAAATAAATAACTCATCAAATAATTCACCAAGTTCACATAATAGCAAATAGTCTAAAAATCATCTATTAAAAATCAACGAGACTTCTTTCTTTCATTTGGTTGAACAAACATGTACAGGTGGTAGTGAACTTACCTGTAAGGAGCTGAACTCGAAATACGCAAATAAATGTGGCACCTTGATAACGTCTTCCGGTAAGCTCTTCTCTTATATCTTTAATTAAATGTAATTATGAATTACAAATGTGCTAAGTAAGAAACATGGTCATATTACTGAAATTAATGTATTACTGGATGTACTAAAACCCAAAACTTGGATTTTCTTTTCTTCTATCTTGCTTCTACGGAAAGCTAAAAGATAACATACATTTTAACAATTTGAAAACCTTTATGCAGCAAACCAGCAACCCCTTTTTAAATTTAAACTTAAATTAAATCAACTCCTAAGCATCTCGACTTAAAACTCTTCCCAATACTACATATTACAGCCCCCAGAGTCTACGTTGCAGTTCTAGTGGAAGAAGAAACATCAATTGACAGATTATTCCTAACAAAATTTATTAACCTTGCTATTGTTTTATTTTAAACTTTCAGAGGAATTGAGATGGTTACTCTAAGAATCGCACCTGAAATTTTCTCCTTTTAATGCCAAAGTACAAGGGGTTTAGAAGAGGTAAAATCATTTATAAAGATTAAATTTTTAAAGATCAATTTACTGAATTCAGGTTTCAAACACCATTAACTGACAAAGTGAACTGAACAAATCTTGCAGCAGTTCATGTTCGTTATTTTTTCAACAATCCTAGAAGAATAAATATAAGTGACGCGAATGGAATTCAACTTACCAGGTTTGGGATGCTGATTTAGAGCTAAACTTTTGATCGGGAAGTTTAAGGCGGTGAAATGTTTCGGAAGAGATAACCCAGAGAGGAGCCGAAATCACGGTTAGGGAAGGCGCAGGTCTTTCTACGGTATTAGGCGTATGCATATACAAAACATTAATCCTAGGGCTTTTATTATAAAAAGGATACTTATTTGGGCTAACATAACTAATTTGGGTCTCTTAGTCCTCTAAGAAAATACTTATGACCCAACTGAAAAAAAAAATAATATTTTCCCTTTCAATAATATACTAAACAGATAAAAAATACATTTCTTCAATTAAAATTATTATGAGCTTACCAGTCCACGTTACCTGCCAAAACATGTCAAATAATAAATATCATATTATTCATAACAAAAAAAATTTAGCTGACTAAAATAATAATAATAACTCATTATTAAAATAATTAGCTCATAAAAGAAATCGGGGTGTCACAACCCCTCCCACCTTATAAAAGTTTCGTCCTCGAAACTTAGAACAACTCAGGATAACGACGTCTCATGTCATCCTCAACCTCCCAAGTAGCTTCTTCAACTTTGTGATTTCGCCACAACACTTTTACTAGAGCTATCTCTTTATTCCGAAGACGTCTAACCTCACGATCAAGAATTTGTACTGGCTTCTCCTCGTAAGACAAATCATTTTGCACTTCCACTGTTGGGGGTATCAAAACATGCTCCGGATCAGCAAAGTATTTTCTCAACATCGAAACATGGAAGACATTATGAATGCCAGAAAACTCTTCAGGTAGCGCGAGCTCATAAGCTACCTTCCCAACTCGTCGGGTGATCTCATACGGTCCGGTGAACCTGGGGCTAAGCTTCCCTTTCTTCCCAAATCGCATCACGCCCTTCATCGGGGCTATCTTGACAAAAACAAAATCACCCACTTCGAATTCTAGAGGTCTCCTTCGAACATCTGCATAACTCTTCTGTCTGCACTAGGCAGATTCTATCCTTTGTCGGATTGTCTTAATAGCTTATGAGGTCTCATCTATCAACTCAGTCCTTCCTTGTAACTCCTCTTCTAGAATCTTCTTTTCTCCCGTTTCATACCATGATATGGGAGATCTACACCTTCTCCCATATAACGCCTCATATGGAGCCATGCCGATGGTTGCTTGATAACTATTATTATAAGCAAATTCCGCCAAACTAAGGTGATGGAGTTATGGAACTAGGCCCAGAGCCTAATCAGCCCAAGCCCCGAACTTGGACCCGTGGATCCAAGTCCACAACCTGGAGCCTGCCTGCCAGCTCAGCGGGGAGCCTGCCAGTCCGGTCGACATCCCAGCCCGAAAGAGTAACGGTCAAACAATTAATGCGCTATTAATTATGTATTTAATTCCGTATTAATGTTGTAATTAATTAGTCATTATTATCGATAGCGGTTACGATTTGTATACGCCTATAAAAGGCGGGTTGTAATTCAGATTAGGGAAGCAAATTCTACATGCTATTTCTGGCTAACTTTCCATATTCGTACTTTCCTAATTCCTGCTTGAGTGTCGTACGTAGCTTTCCTAAAAGCCTACGAGCGTCCTATTTTGGACCAACATTGGTGCTTTCGTTGAGAGTTTTATCTCTCATCACTTTGGTAAGAATTAACAAGAAAAATCCAGAAAAGGTCAAAGATTTCTAGCAATTTTTCATATCTGGAGAGGAGGTAAGAACAGAAGAATCTGGTGACCCGTAGCTTCACGACGGCAGCCACCGCTTGCCTAATCGCCCGCTGCTCACCCTTCCAACGTACCACTGACACAACGTGAGGAATCTGTCGATTGAAGTCGCCTGAGGTCTCAGCTCCCCCACTCCTCCGCTTTTCCGATCATTGCTAGCAACGTGGGGATCTCCGTCGTCGTTGAATTCTCCGAGCGTCGTCTTCGCCAGTATCTTCGTTGTCCGGTCGCTCACTACTTCCCTCCCCAACCTCGCCGCTCACACTTAGGTGTTGTGCCATTAAAGGTGGGTTGGGCGGATCTGGAATCCTGCTGTAGCGGTAATCTGCGATGGTGCTCTGACGGGATCAAGGCTTCGAGCTGCCACGATGAACTCAGCAACTTGACCGGCCTTTTCCTCTCTCCTCGCCTCCAAAATGGTTTGACGGTTCCTCTGGTTTCCGTCGATAAGGGAGTGGCTGATTAGGCGTGTAACTACACAAGGGCAGAAGTTCCAAGTTGGGCTATTAAGAGGGGTCATGCCAGGACTAAGAAGGACAGGCCACATGCGGCCCAATCAAACTCTTTGATGGTCCAAATTTCAGCCACATGCCCAAGCTTCAGCCCAATTCAAAGCTAAGTATTCCAAAGCTTTCTCCATATTATTAGTATGTGGAAATATATGATTTTAAAAAATCATAAATTGAAACATTTGAAAAGATATTTTAAGTGGTATAATTGCTTTAACTCTTGTTGAGCGTGTGTAATTTTAACATTGAAAAACGGACTTATGAAATCCGATCACTCACATACACCGGACGAGCACACACACTCGTACAATGGCCGAGCACACACACTCGCGCCACCGGGTCATGTCATATGGGTGTGGCGATTAATAAGCTCCAATATAAATGTTAATACCTCACACTCTTGACTTCTTACGGGTTCTTGTGTGCTCTTGCCTCTTCCTAGTGCATCACACTCCGACCTCGGGGGACGAGTCATCCGTTCAAAAGTCTTTACTTGCGGGTTCGAACTACTAACCTCGGGCGGCGAGTTAAACTCTTGTTAGGGGCCTAGAGCCACGCTTTTCCGGGCAATTTTGTCACTTAATTGACGTTCACATTTCTCGAAGAGGTTGATATACTTCAGTTCTCTAGGGTTGGATTATCCGTTCGAGTGAGGAGTCCGCCTCACTTACTCGCGGATTCAATCTTTCTTTCGAAGACTGGGTTGAGGCCTAACTTGGGAACTTGATGTCACTCTTTTCAAGTAGTGAGTCCGACTCGCTTACATACTGAGCCGTGGTTTGACACCAGGCCAGATGCTCTATTCTACACTAGTTTCTTTTATGTGTAGGTACAACTGAGTGAAGTGGGGGACTGAGGGTCTTACCGTCTTCAAGGAAGCAAATGACGAACCTGACGAGTCTGAGCTCAACGAGAAGAACAGTTCTAGCCATCCTATTCGCAGATGGTGACCATTACAATAAAGGCTGAGGATCTCACCTCTTGCTTCATCTTGGGGGCGTCAGATGTACTCTTTTTCCCTTCATTAGGATTTTTTCCCATTGGGTTTTTTCTAATGAAGGTTTTTAATGAGGCATCTCCCCAACATGGACAAGGGCGGGGATCTTCTAGTCTCGAAGAAGAGCAACTGACTTGGATTACTCCCTCTTAGCCGAGTTTACTACTCGACTAAGGGAGTGGGGGACTCGTGATGGAGTTATGGAACTAGGCCCAGAGCCTAATCAGCCCAAGCCCCGAACTTGGACCCGTGGATCCAAGTCCACAACCTGGAGCCTGCCTGCCAGCTCAGTGGGGAGCCTGCCAGTCCGGTCGACCTCCCAGCCCGAAAGAGTAACGGACAAACAATTAATGCGCTATTAATTATGTATTTAATTCCGTATTAATGTTGTAATTAATTAGTCATTATTATCGATAGCGGTTACGATTTGTATACACCTATAAAAGGCGGGTTGTAATTCAGATTAGGGAAGCAAATTCTACATGCTATTTCTGGCTAACTTTCCATATTCGTACTTTCCTAATTCCTGCTTGAGTGTCGTACGTAGCTTTCCTAAAAGCCTACGAGCGTCCTATTTTGGACCAACATAAGGTATTTAGCCCATCCTCCTTGAAAATCAAGAGCGCATGCCCGTAACATATCCTCTAAAATCTGATTTGTCCTCTCCGTCTGGCCATCTGTCTGAGGATGAAAAGCAGTACTAAACTTCAACTTCGTGCCCAATGATTGTTGTACACACTTCCAAAAGTGAGACATAAATCTGGAATCTCTGTCTGAAATAATACTCTTCGGAACACCATGCAATCTAACAATCTCCTGTATATATATTTTTGCCAACTTCTCCAAAGAAATACTTGCTGAAATTGGGATAAAATGAGCAGATTTAGTCAATCTGTCCACTATAACCCATATAGCGTCATAACCTCCAGTTGTCTGTGGCAAACCCATAATAAAATCCATTGATATCTCATCCCATTTCCACTCTGGAATCTGGATAGGCTGAAGTTCTCCACCTGGTCTTTGATGTTCAGCCTTAACTTGTTGACACGTCAAACATGCCTGAACGAACTTTGCAACATCTTTCTTCATCCCTGACCACCAAAAGCTTTCCTTCAAGTCGTGGTACATCTTGGTCGAACCAGGATGCATAGTGAATGGTGTCTCATGAGCCTCCTTCATAATCTGCTTCCTCAACCCCTCGATGTCCGGGATGCACAACCTTTTTTGGAGTAATAATCTCTCATTCTCATCCAAACGAAACTCAGGACATTTTCCCTCCTTGACGCACTCCTTCAACTTAACTAACTCGGGATCAAGTTCTTGCTTCATAGCCATGTCCTCAAATATTGATGGAGTCACTGTCATAGCTGCTAGTCGCCCACCTACAATCTCCAACTCAAAATCTTCAATTTCCTTCCTCAGCCTTGGATCCATTACCATCATGGACATTACTGTTGCAGAAGACTTCCTACTAAGTGCATCTGCTACCTTGTTGGCTTTCCCCGGATGATAAAGGATCTCACAATCATAATCTTTCACTAGCTCAAGCCACCTTCTTTGCCTCATGTTGAGGTCCTTCTGTGTGAATATGTATTTTAGGCTTTTATGATCAGTGAAGATCTTGCACTGGACTCCATACAAGTAATGTCTCCAAATCTTCAACGCATGTATCACTGCTGCCAACTCCAAGTCATGGGTAGGATAATTCGCTTCATAATCTTTGAGTTGCCGAGACGCATAAGCAATAACTCATTCATTCTGCATAAGAACTGCTCCAAGTCCCATCTTCGATGCGTCTGTGTAGATAACAAACCCTTCCTTGCCTTCTGGGAGTGCTAAAACGGGTGCAGATGTCAACATATCTTTCAGCTCTTGGAAACTCTTCTCACAACGATCAGTCCACTCAAATTTCTTACCCTTACGAGTCAAGGTAGTCAATGGAAGAGCTATAACAGAGAAGCCTTCCACAAACTTCCTATAATACCCCGCAAGGCCTAAGAAACTTCGAACTTCTTTCGCATTCTTCGGCCTGCTCCAATCTCGGACAGCTGCTACCTTTGAGGGATCTACCGAAATTCCCTGCTTTGAAACTACATGGCCAAGGAATGCTACATGATCAAGCCAGAACTCACACTTTGAAAACTTAGCATATAGCTTATGTTTTCTCAGTGTCTCCAGTACTTCTCTCAAGTGTTTTTCATGCTCCTCCTTGGACTCTGAGTAGATCAAAATATCATCAATGAAAACAATGACAAACTTGTCAAGAAACTCCCTGAACACTCTATTCATCAAATCCATGAACGCCGCTGGAGCATTAGTCAGGCCGAAAGGCATAACCACAAATTCATAGTGTCCATACCGCGACCTGAAAGCTGTTTTTGGGATGTCACCTTCCTTGATTCTTAGCTGATGATACCCTGAACGAAGGTCGATCTTGGAGAAAATCACCGCTCCCTTCAACTGGTCAAACAGGTCATCAATTCTAGGCAGGGGATACCTATTCTTGATAGTCACTTTATTGAGCTCTCTATAATCTATGCACAACCTCATTGTGCCATCCTTCTTTTTCACGAACAATACTGGAGCTCCCCACGGTGAGTAACTGGGCCGAATGAAACCCTTCTCTAGCAACTCCTGCAACTGTTTGTGGAGTTCTTGTAACTCCGCTGGGGCCATTCGATATGGTGCTCTAGATATTGGTGCAGTACCGGGCAGCAGCTCAATCTCGAACTCAATCTCTCTACTTGGTGGTAGTCCAGGAAGATCTTCGGGAAAAACATCACTGTAATCCTCCACAATTGGAACTTCAGATAACTGAATGGGTTCTCCAGTGCTCTTGTCTACAATGTGAGCTAAGAAAGCTTCACATCCACTCCGAATAAGTCTCCTTGCTTGCAATGCAGAAATCATCACCTTCCCTGATCCTTTTGGCTCCCCAAGAAACAAGAAAGGATTATACCCTGCAGGCGCAAAACTAACAATTCTTTTTCGGCATATAATTGAAGCACTATACTTCTGCAGAAAATCCATGCCGAGAATCACGTCATAATCTCTCATATCAAGCACGATCAGATCCACAAATAACTCTCTCCCTGCAATACTCATTGGCACTGCTCGTAACCAATGAGTCGACAACATGATCTCTCCTGACGGAAGTGCTGTGGTGAACTTATAATCTAACTTATCTTGATGTGCTGCTAAGGATCTAGCAAACTCAAGAGATACAAAGGAATGCGTGGCTCCAATGTCAAATAACGCATTAGCATATCTATTAAGAACAAGTATCTGACCTGTGACAACACCGGGATTTATCGATGCCTCCTCTTTCGAGATTGTGAACACTCTAGCAACCGGAGCCTCTGGTGGTGCCTCAAGACGCCCTTGCTGGATGGATGGTCCTTCTAGATAAGCCTGCATATTATGGACAGCCGCTGAAGGTGTTGGATTTCTTGGCATGTGAGTGATCTGGTAGTTTTGCTGATTCTTTCTTGGACAATCTCTCGACATATGGCCCTCAAGGCCGCAAGTGTAGCAAGCTCTAGAACCCAATCTGCATTGGCCTGGATGATTACAGCCACAATTTGTACACTGTGGAAATTTCATCTGTTTATTTTGGTGTCCCTGATGGTGACCAGCTCCTTTTCCATCATTGCCCGTGAAGTTTCTCTTCTTGTTACTCTTCGAATTGTTCATGTGTCGATGTGACTGATTCTGTGACTGCGAAGGCACAGGCTGCGGCTGAGCGGGTACTGGACCGCTAGAGATGTAGTACTCCTTTTGAGTTGCTATAAAAACACAGTCAGCTAGTGTAGCTGGAGTCTGATTGCCATTCTCCAAGTGAACTGCTATATCCTTCCTAAGAGCTGCCAGGAACATCCTCACCTTATCTCTTTCCGTCGGGGCAGCTGTAGGACAAATACGTAGCAGTCTCTGAAATTTTGCCGCCAAGGTTGTAACATCCATGGTTCCCTGGCGTAGACTCTGAAGCTCATCCCGGTACCTACGTGTGACACTAGCGTTGAAATACTGGTTGGTGAACTCCTCTTTGAACTGCTCCCATGTCATCTGCGCGATGTTGTACCTTGTTTCCACAGTCTCCCACCATATTCGAGCATCCATGGTGAGGCTGTAAGATGCACATCGAACCTTGTCATTATCTGTTAGTTCCAACCCATTAGCAATGCCTTCCACGGTCTTCAGCCATCCCTGAGCAGCTAGAGGGTCTGGACCCCCCTCGAAATCCGCGGGCTTGATCTTCCTCCATGTGATCATCAAAGGTTCTTGTCTCGGTGCTCCGTGTCCCCTAGCATGATTATTTCCAGCATTTCCCCCTTCACCACCACCCCTTTGATTGTTCGCGGTCAAACGGTCGATGGTTTGTTGCTGCTCCTGCAACTGTCTCTGAAGTTGCGCTACTAATCCTGCCAAATCCTGCTCGTGATTGTTTGCTTGCTCATTGTTGCTACCAACTGGACGACCACGGGTTCTCCTCATTTTCTTAAGGCACCTAAATATAAACTTTTATTTATGTGCCATACACAATACAAAAGGCAAAACATTCTCACTTCTGTTCTCTATCTAATAAAACTCTTCTTGCTCAAGCACAGAAATTTAAAACTAACTGTAAATACTTACTTGGAAGATGATGAGCACGTGTACGGTGACAAATGAAGTTACGGGACAACCTGGGTTCTGATACCAAATTTGTAACGCCCCTCTCAGGGTTAAAGGAGACGTTACTTAAACTTACTACTAAAAAAAACTGCAATATAACGGCCGTTTGTTTAAGAAATAACCCTGATAAAAACTCAAAATATAACTAAAATATAACTCCAAATAAAACTCAATAAAATCTAATTATCACCAGCAAATGTGATAACCACCTGGATCCAGGAATTTACTAAAACTTCAAATCTTCAAATAAAATAAAGTAATAATAATCACTTTAATATAACATCTGAAATACTAAAAAATAATAACTAGCTAGAAGCCGCAAAGGTCGTTCCCGTTAACTCATTTCGGCACGCGTTCCACTCTCTCATTATCTTCCTAGGCCTTGGCCTTACCTTTAGTATCTGTAAATGCGAAGAAAGAAAACGGATAAGCTTTACGCTTAGTAAGTCACTATGGATCCACAAAAATATCTGAGAAGTCTATGCTAATTTATCAATAGATAAATTTAGGCTATAAGCATGCACTAAACAAATGACTAACAAATAGCTTCTCAAATAAATTCTGAGAGAGATACCAAAAGAAAATATTTTTTAAAATAATTTCTCAAAACTACTGGAGAGGTCTCAAAATTTCTCTCTCAAAATATCTCTGTAAAACTTTCTGAAAGAGATCTCAAAAACAACTTTCTATAAAACTTTCTGAAAGGGATCTCATAAACTTTCTGTAAAACTCTTTGTGGCTAATTTTTAATCTGTGGGCCCGTGATATGTACTCAAAGGCGCCAATCCGACAGTTCAGGGGAGCGACCCACTAAACATATCGAACTCTTTGAAACTGATAAACTGATAATCTGAGGGAACTTTTTCCCGAGTACATATCACCTGATCTTTCACTTTAAATATTAGTTCTTTTTTTTATAGTGACGGTTGGGTAAAAACATCATTAAAATCTTAAAAAAAAAAGAACACTGACATGATCTTGACTATGCCAGAATGATAAACATAACTAAACATGACAAATAAATAACTCATCAAATAATTCACCAAGTTCACATAATAGCAAATAGTCTAAAAATCATCTATTAAAAATCAACGAGACTTCTTTCTTTCATTTGGTTGAACAAACATGTACAGGTGGTAGTGAACTTACCTGTAAGGAGCTGAACTCGAAATACGCAAATAAATGTGGCACCTTGATAACGTCTTCCGGTAAGCTCTTCTCTTATATCTTTAATTAAATGTAATTATGAATTACAAATGTGCTAAGTAAGAAACATGGCCATATTACTGAAATTAATGTATTACTGGATGTACTAAAACCCAAAACTTGGATTTTCTTTTCTTCTATCTTGCTTCTACGGAAAGCTAAAAGATAACATACATTTTAACAATTTGAAAACCTTTATGCAGCAAACCAGCAACCCCTTTTTAAATTTAAACTTAAATTAAATCAACTCCTAAGCATCTCGACTTAAAACTCTTCCCAATACTACATATTACAGCCCCCAGAGTCTACGTTGCAGTTCTAGTGGAAGAAGAAACATCAATTGACAGATTATTCCTAACAAAATTTATTAACCTTGCTATTGTTTTATTTTAAACTTTCGGAGGAATTGAGATGGTTACTCTAAGAATCGCACCTGAAATTTTCTCCTTTTAATGCCAAAGTACAAGGGGTTTAGAAGAGGTAAAATCATTTATAAAGATTAAATTTTTAAAGATCAATTTACTGAATTCAGGTTTCGAACACCATTAACTGACAAAGTGAACTGAACAAATCTTGCAGCAGTTCATGTTCGTTATTTTTTCAACAATCCTAGAAGAATAAATATAAGTGACGCGAATGGAATTCAACTTACCAGGTTTGGGATGCTGATTTAGAGCTAAACTTTTGATCGGGAAGTTTAAGGCGGTGAAATGTTTCAGAAGAGATAACCCAGAGAGGAGCCGAAATCACGGTTAGGGAAGGCACAGGTCTTTCTACGGTATTAGGCGTATGCATATACAAAACATTAATCCTAGGGCTTTTATTATAAAAAGGATACTTATTTGGGCTAACATAACTAATTTGGGTCTCTTAGTCCTCTAAGAAAATACTTATGACCCAACTGAAAAAAAAAATAATATTTTCCCTTTCAATAATATACTAAATAGATAAAAAATGCATTTCTTCAATTAAAATTATTATGAGCTTACCAGTCCACGTTACCTGCCAAAACATGTCAAATAATAAATATCATATTATTCATAACAAAAAAAAATTAGCTGACTAAAATAATAATAACAACTCATTATTAAAATAATTAGCTCATAAAAGAAATCGGGGTGTCACATTACATATGAAACTTTGGGGTGTTTACCGCCACACTCGGTTCTCACATAACCGAATGCACAGGCTATCCACCACCAATACGATTTCATAAATCCAAATGAAATAAATTTCCCATAATTAATTATTCAACTATAAATTTTTAAAGTAAAACTAATATGAATTACTCTATCCACTTTATTCTATGTGTTCTAGCGGAAGCTCTCGAAATCAACATCACCAAGTCTCCACCTGTACAAAATCAAGTACAGAAAGAAAACACAAAGAAAACAAAAATTCGTTTGAAATACTAAGTAAGGGCCTACTCAACCCCGTAAAATAATCAGGTTTGATACATATATATAATTTGTCAAAATACATTTTAAAACCCTATTTCTTTAGGGCATGTCGTAACTTTCTCAAAATACTTTACAATTCCTCAAATACAAGTAAAATATTTGATCTCATAAATACATAAATAAATACACACACAACTCTAGGGTTCGTAAAAGTTATTCCATCTCATAACATATCACAGATATGCAAGTAAAATAATGTCTTAATATCCCATAATTCTCTAAAATACTTTCTCAACAATGTATACTTTCCAACATACTCAATACGAAGTAATAATTTAAGAATAGCATTCGTAGCTCAAAATAATGTTTGTAAACTTTGAATACTTCACATAGTAGGAGTAAGGTATTACTTCCCAAAATAATTAGCCTCCAAAATAACTTTTGAAATTCCATCACACGTCTCATATTCGTAAATACAATGTTCAAATCCAATCCAAATGGAGTACAAGCCTTACCAAAATGTAATCATTCAAAAATCCATATCCAACAATATTTTCCCAAATTAATGCCAACCATATATTTTCCAAAACAAATATCCCAAAAGTGTTTGTACTTTTTGGAAATATGTATCGTTCTCCAAATAGTAAGGTTTCTTTAACAATTCTTTGAGTATTATAAAGAATAATTGTTCTTAATTGTCTCAATGGTGATCAAAATATTTATAGGAAAATATCCTCCCATATTTCCAAAATGGTTTAAGGTCTCAAATAATCCCTCCAATAAGTATTTCCAATCTCGATTCCACCAAAAGTAATACTTTAGATTTCTTTTAAGAGTGGGCGAAACTCAAGATTCCTCGAGCCCAATGAGTCGTTATTTACGACTCATCCCGGAATTCTGGCTCCCACCGACCACCAATTGGAAGCTGAATTTCTACCTTAAGTGTGCACACCCTCTAAAAGGGATTCCAAGCCCTCCGAGTAGTAAGAAATCCAAGTAGGCAGGATGTTTTCTACCACCTACTCACAAGGGACATTGTCCAGGGTAAATTAGGTAACTACTACTACGAGCACCAAAGGATCTTTGATCCTCAAATAAAAGCCCGAGATGTCTACCGGAGCATGTCATTGCCGGACTGGTTACCGACCCAAATAAATTTCACCAAAAGTAGTAGTAGCCCGAGACGTAAGAATATATTATGAAACCTTTAAGTTTTCCCCAAAATCATTCTCGTCACATTTTCTACAAATATCCTTTGTAATAAATATCAATCCACCAATATTCTTTAATAAAAAGAATATACATGTAATCATCCATAATAGATCGTAATCCACCCATATCCATATATTCAAAATATTCAATCCATGTCAATCATAAAATTTCCAAGTCGTAAATAATCCCCATAGTTAAAATATTGCATACATATAAGCATGCGGTAAAACATTTTTGGTTGGCATCGAAACATACATTACTATAAAAATAAGTACTAGTTATACTCATGTAGAAACATGTTTATTTTATATATTGTACCAAAATCTCTTAAAATCATTTGTAGCTCAATAATAATTTTGATAGTCAAATGCTCGTAATATTATTCAAGTATGGAATTTTATAAATAAATATTTTTATTAAAACATCTCAAAATTGTTAATGATGTAAAATAGTAAATTTTAGTAAACTTACATTTGTACCCTAATCATATATTTAAAATAATAATTTTCAAAAAGATAGTAGTCTCACATACAGCATGTATAATTTTATTGAAATTTCTTCAATTATCGAAGAGGCAAACTATATATACATTTTAGAAAATTTAGGTATTTGTAACCATGTCCTCAATATCACTTAGCTAATAAGTATTATACATTTACCAAGACCTCTCAAAATCATCTATAATTTTATAGATTCAATACTAGTTAAAATTATATATTTAAATGTATAGAAATTAGTTCAAATAGGACTAAAACTATGGCAAAAACCTAAAATAGGACTTGCTATGTTTTTATTCCAAAATAGGACCATATGAGTCCTATTGGAAACATACCTATTTTTGCATTCCATTCTTACCCTTCCATTAAATATGAATTACAAATAGTCAAAAGCCATAATTAAATATTTAATTCATAATAAATTCGAAAAAAATTCAAAAATTCGTAGAAATATAAGTAAAAAAATTATAAAAATTTTATAAAATAAAAAATTCATTTTTTTAAAATAATTTTATTTTTAAAAAAATTAATAAAAAATAGTAAAACTCCATAAAAAAAATTAAAAAAATATGGATGCCTTTCCCACCGCCTGTACTACCTCCCAGCACCACCACCTCCGGCCGATGAAAAAAATGCAATTTTTCCAGAAAATGCCATTTTTTTCTGAAAATGCCAAAAAAGTGTCACATTTCTCTTTTCGAATGCCAACATTTTCATTTTTTTCTGCCATAAATATGGCATTCGTAATGAACTTGACATTTTTTCCCCTGGTGACTGGAGGTGGTAGTGCTGAGGCGGCAGAGGCGGCGGCGATTTTTTTTTTAGTTTTTATTTTTTTTTAATTTTTTTTTAATTTTATTTTAATTTTTTTAATTTTTTGAAAAAAAAAATTAATTAAATTTTTAATATCGAAAATGTTTTTCTTAATTTTTTAGTATTTTTTACGAATTTTTATTATTTTCTATTATTTTATTAGGAATTAAAACATTTTAATAGCTATAAGAGTATAATTGTCCAAGATACACATAATTAGTCCTATGCAAACATAGTTTATTTTTTGGTCCTATTTGTGAAAAGTGAATGACTTTTAGTCCTATTTTGATAATTAACTCTTAAATGTAGTAGTTTAAAATGTATTTATATATTCATCATAATTTCCCAAAAGTGTCTATGAGATGGAAATATTAATCTTAAAAATATAAACTCTTGTATATATATTACTAGTCTCAAATACATATAATTTCATATCAAATCTTTTGAATTAGTAATCATATAATTAAATCTTTAGAATCACTAGTTGTTCAAAAATTAATCATTATATAAACAAGGACTTGTCATATTTCCAAAAGTAGTCATAATATCCGATCTCAAATTGTAGTTTTCCAAAAAGGACGTAATATCGAAATCACACTTTCTCAAGATCAATAAACTGATTTTGTACACAAGGTAGCCATATTTCTCATATCCAAATATTTTATCAAAGTTTCCAAAACTCACCGAGAAAGTCACAGATTTAGTAACGCTAGTAAAATAGTAATTTGAGCAAGTCCATATACTCCACATATTTCAAATAATATCAAATCTCATAATTTGAGACATAATTCACATATAAGTTTTTGAAAGTATGAACTAGAGGAATAATAGTTTTGGTTGACAGAAACACTTACCTCGCAATATATCCTATCGGAAGCATTTATCTCGATCTCCAAAATCATCTTTGCACGTCTTTCTCTTTAGAAACTCGACGCAGAGACGGTGACTAGCTGACGGCATAACTTCTGCGACCGGCGGTTTCCTTTCACCCAAGTTGACCGGCAATGGTTTCCGGCGTTGCTGCGGTGCGCCGGCGATTCATCCCTGCAGGTACTCCGACGAACTCTCCTTCTCCATTATCGAAGGCGTGCAACGTTCTCTTCTACTCCGGCGGGTTTCTCATCTCCGACGGCGGATTTTATTCCTCCGGCGCCGAGTTCCTTTTCTCCGGCGTCGGTTGCTGACGGTATGGACTGCTCTGACCAGCACTTCATTTGTGGTGACGGCAGGTCTGGCGGCTGCGGGTCAAAACACCTCCGGTACGTTTTTTGGTTCCGTCTCTTGTCAGCACGGGTGGAGTCGCAACGGTTGACGTCCAGTGATGGTCTCCTTCACCGGTGAAAGGAAATGGTGTCTCTGGAAAGCGGAGGCAGCGGCCCGGCCCTTTTCCGACGTTCGTGGGACTCTTCGCCGGCAAGCTCTTCCATCTCTCATGTTTTTTTTTTTGCTTCTTTTCCCTCTTCTCGCAAAGGTAGTAAGTTTTTTTTTTTTCATAGTGTGGCCATGGGTATCATATACTACCTCCGTCAACCATGAAAGAAATTCTAGGCTATGGTGCATGGGTGAGTTAGACATCTTGGCTTCCTTATTGGGTGAATTGCATTTGTGCTGTGAATGTATTTGTGCAAAATTTAGTAATTTTAACTAAATACTAGTTAAATTTACTTAGTTATGACCAATTATTTTAACTAATTTAGACATAAACATGCCAGTGATCAAAATACTACCCCCTCCCAATTTACTTAGTTATGACCAATTATTTTAACTAATATATTTGTGCAAATTTTAGTAATTTTATACTTTTGTGATAGTATATTTAAAAAGAACATTTTTATATCATTTTCATATTATCAATATTTTCTCTATATAAACATATAATCGATCAAAGTGGGTCGCCATTGACTAACTAAAATGGGAGGGATGGAGTAAGTTATTTTGTTTTGTATTTTGTATACCTTACACCGTACCACATCTTATTGTGATTTATATTATTATTAACATATGATGTACTGTGTATATCATTGCCATCGCAGGAATATTATTATTGCTATGTATAATAGGCATATATTATTATCAAGTTTAAAAGTCAACTCCTTCAACTTTGTATGATATTTTTGTACACATTTTATCTACTCATATCTTTAAATTAAAATATCACCTTTATTATTTATGTCATATGTATAGTTATCACTTGTTACAAAAATGTCACTTTTGTTTTTTAAGTCAAGGTTCAATCTAGTCAACATAATTATTTATAAAAATGTAACTTTTATTTTTGAAACAGTTTATCTGATTAAAAATATCTCCGATGTTAAAATTTTATCTGATTCACTTAATTATTACAATCTCATTTTCGTAAAATTTTATCTCACTAATAAAATTATTTATTTTATTTATCTTTTTTTTTAGTATCACAATAGGAGTATCATGTTTTTTATTCCTTGAATAGGAGTAAATTTATGCCAAGTTTGACATTACTATGCTTTAAAACATGACATTTTTTTCCAAACTTGACAGATTACTCCTATTCGGGGAATAAAAAATATGACACTCCTATTTTGGAATTTCAAAACGTTTTTGCTCCTATTTAGAGCAATTTCTATAAATCTAACCTTTTTCATAGCAAAAAAAATCAGAAATCTATAGTGCATAATATAGATATTCATTTGCTTTGGCAAGCGACTCTAATTAAAAGTTCTTTGTGGTGCAGTTGTGAAGGGTTCTCCATTATTGAAATGTGAAATATGATACAGAGCATATTGAAATGTGAAATATGATAAAATGAGGAAAATAAATATGTAAGTGAAAATCCATATGACATATAAAATGGATAAATGTTTAAAAAAAATTGAAAGATATTTTGATATACATTTTTGTTATATTAATATCTCTACCATCTTTATCACATGTAACAACTTTTAAATCAACATATAATTGACCAATCACTATTACGCAAATATTGTTCTTGATTTTTGTTTATCGTCATTCCATATGAAACAGTTAGACATAACGGTCATCTTTGAAACTTGATATCAATAATTTTTCTACCATACTTATTCCTTTCAAAAGAATTCTTTCAATACATTATTTTAACAAAACATAGTAACATCTCTATGATACATTTAATCCATTCACTTAGAATAAATAACTTAAGAAAGCGTTTACCTCGCTGCTAAAGTCATAGTTAAGTTAGTATGACATGTGAAGTAAACACGCAAGCTGCTTAAAAGTTGCTTACCAACCGAAAGAGGTGTTTAAAGTGCCGCTTACTAAGCATACCACCCCCATGTATTAATTAAGCAGCACTTTAAGATTTTTTAGTTTCCGAATTTACCCTTACCCTTACTCCTTGATCTTACCCTATTGTTACCCTCTACCCCACCCCGCCCCTACCCTTAACTCTACCTTATCCCGCCCCACCCCGACCCCCGACCCCACTTCCCTACCCTATCCTACCCCCATCCCTTACCACCCCACCCTAACCCCATACCATACCCCTTACCACCCCTACCCCCACTTGTACTCCTTACCTCGACTCCACCTCAACCCCCAGTACCCCTTCCGCGTAACCCCTGCCCCTACCCCTTACCCTGACCCCCTACTCGTGGCTTGTAGCCTACCCCAACCTACCTGAGGGTCGTGGCATGGGTAGGGTCATGGTAGGGGTAGAGGTAGGTCCCACATATTATATGCATATATACTTGTGCACATGAATGTTTGTATCTATATATGTAGAGTTATAGCACTGATTATTTTACACGCCGCTTACTAATGCAAGTCTTAATAAGCAGTGCTTAGTAACCTGTGAATTATATTTGAGTGCATTGTTCATATATTTTATAATTGAGTGGACCAAAATAAAATCTATTGTGTTTTTAATCAATAATGTAAAATAATCTTTCCAAAAACTGCTCTTTCTGTTCTATAATAACAGTCTCGTATTCTTTTTTGAGATGTTTTTTGTTACTTGTCTCTTTTTTCCATTTTGGTAATATTTTTCTATCAAAATACCTTTATACTCTCACTTTTATTACTCTTGCCGTTTTATAAACTACTTTGTCTTTCATACGTTTTCACTACTTTTCTCTTCTCAATATTCTCTTTTTCACTTTTTCATTTATCAATTATCATACACCCTATATATATTGTCATGTATAGGACTAAAACTAAACTTAAATGCACAAATAGGACTAAGTATGTTTTTTTCCCCAAACAGAACTGATTTAATCCTATTAAAAGAATACTTTGATTAAAATTTCCCAAAATAGGAGTGGATGAGTCATATTTTGGGAATAAAATATTGATAGTCCTATTTAAGAAATTTGTCCTTATTTTAGTCCTACTTAGGGTAATTTTCTCATATATTATCCCTACGATTTTTTTCTTAACAATCATGAAAAATCTAAGAGGACAGTTATTAGAGAACAGACGGAGTATAATCTAAAATAATATGCTTATAGAAAGTATTAAGCCAAACAAATAAATAAACTTCAGAGAAATAGACCACTTGGACTCTATTGTATATACTGCTTGTGTGCTTGTACACAAATATAAACTCCAGCCCACTTTTCATTTTTTTTACAGAAAGCCCAATGTAGCAACCCAAACTACAAAGGATAGAAAATTTTCGCTTTACCAGTCTAACGCTCGAGCATCACCGCATTCGGGGTAATCTTCTTCATTGAGGATTTGCCGAACCCCAAGTCACGACCACCGACAACAGGTAATTCACAGACCTCATCAAACTTATGTAAAACTTATGATAAGATCAATAAATACAACTCATTGGAGAACACCGAAACTCTATTCAGATAAGTATTCTTCATCTTATAATTTCAATTTTTCATATAAAATTGAATTTTTTTATATCCTTTTTTATTTCAATAAATTCTTTATATTTCGTTTATCTTTTCACAGTAAATTACTTTCAAAAAGCAGTAATCAAGATCCATCAATTGTGTGCTTCTTATGCTTGTGAAGATTTTTTTCATTATAATTATGTTGTTTCTTATGCTTCTTATCCTATTTTTTTTATAGGAACCACCCCAAAAGGTGTTTCCAATAAGAATACTAAGAGTCACTTAGTAGATTGTGAAGGCTTCAATATCTTCGAAATGTGTTGCCGCTTCAATTGTATTAATGTATTTTCATTGGGAATGTTTTCTAGGCTGTATTTATTGGCTCTTCGAAAACCACAATGATGACTGTAAAGAGGACTTTACAGCCTCTGTTAAAAATGTAATAGGGAGTATAACAACTTATTATTAAATGAAAATAGAATCATGCTTTGGCAATTTCAACTAAAGCCAGCCACCTTCTCCTATTCTTGTGTCTTTTCAATTAACGTTTACGGAGTATAATGTTTTGTCTTTTAATGTTTCATTAAATGTTTTGTCTTTCTATTCTTCTATAACAACGAAGTCGCCAATATTAATGGTCACCACCCGCCAACTTTTCTCCATTACACTTAGCTACGGTGTTCCCGCCCAAAATCCCTCACACTTTTCTGTTTTACTATATATATATAGATATAGATTAGCTCCAAATGTCATATACAAATCAAATATCTTTTTGCAGCTGACTTGATAGGAAAGTTGGATGATGCTTTCCAGAGAGCAAATTCTTACTTTGAGTGAATATTGGGCTTTTTATGATTCCATAGCGTGTGCCGATTTTGGACGAGTTTTGTTTGCCGATTTTGGTTTGGCAGATTTTATAACTAAAAAATATAAACCGTAAACCGAATAACAGATGATTAGTCACTTTCCGTCGGTTTCGGATTTATCCATTCGTTTTGGTCGCTTTCAGCTTTATCGATTCGTTTTGGTCGATCTCGATTTTGGTCTGTTCGATTTCTGTCAGTTTCGGTTTTATATCTTTTTCGTTCACCCGTAGTTTGTCCTGCCCTTACGTTAGTTGTGTCTATTGATTGCTCAAAATGCATTTTTATTTTAAATCTTTTATTAATAAGGTGTTTGAGCTTGATTAAGGTGCGATGCACGAGACATAGAATAAGTAATAGCTATATAATAGAGAGT